AATACAGTATGTTTAAGTCCTATTTTGAAGCCTTCGTTCTTCATTGACCTCTGCAGAGCGCCATGAAGAGGGTGATGGAAATGCTTCCTTGATGTAAAGGAGCAACTAATGAAAGTCTGCAGTCAGCAGAAAGCAGTCAGTCTGTGGCCCTTCACAGGATCCGTGCTGCACTCTCCTTAAATCAGTCAGCTCATGCACATTCAGCAATCACAGACAAGCTCACGTATAGACCGAAAGCTGCATGCAGACCACTTGATGGTGTCACTGAGGCTAAGCTTCTTCATGACAGGCCTCGTACAAGACACATTATACAGGTTAGTAAAAGAACTCCGAAACCGGTCCATCTGTGATCTTCCACACTTAAGGACACTAGGTGTCATGTTTGGCCATTTTTGCAGTACATTGTTAAGGGAGGTAACACAAGGCCACGGCAGGTTAGAAGCAAGTCCTGGATCTTGTGGACAATTTTAATCAAATAACATCTTAACTAATACAGTTTTATTACTGTAAACTAACACTTGCTTAATAAATTAAATAATAAGGGGTGGGATGTAGTGATGAAGTTACTGTGTACCACATAGAACATAGTTACTTGTATTAGAGATAAAATATAAATAAAAACAGAATAAATATAGAGTCAGAAAGTAGGATTAAATATTTAAATAATGTAATTATTTAATTTTATTTAAGAATTATTTAATTCTATATACAGGTGCATCTCAGTAAATTACAATGTCATGAAAAAGTTCATTTATTTCAGTAATTCAACAATTATATATACAATTATGTAATTATTAAATGATGTGTGTGTATGCAATTATATTATATAAACTATATTATATATTAACAACAACAACAACAACAAGAATAATAATAGATTTAAAAACATGTTGAGTGGTGGCTTATGGGTGATTTGTTCATGGTTATACATTAGCCAATAGAAAGTGCTGAACATTCTCTGTGCAAGGAAAGCGTCTGCTCAAGCGAATAAGACCCGGGAGCAAGGAGCCCATCCCTACGTCCAGACTATAAAACTTGATGAATGTGCTAGGAGAGGACCATCCTGCCGCAGCACAAACATCTTCCGACGAAGACCCTTTAAAGAAGGCCTGAGAAGAAGCCACTGCTCTTGTAGAATTAGCACGCACCCCTAGAGGCGTCCAGGTAGTTCAAAATTCGGACGCCCTGGAGCCGCAACGGGGCCAGAGCTGCATCCATGCATTTTGTAAATGTTCGAGGAGCCAAAGCTAGTCCGAACGGAAGAACACAGTATTGGTATGCTTTGCCCTCGAAAGCAAACCTGAGGAACTTCCTGTGCCTCCTGACGATCTGGATGTGAAAGTATGCATCCTTTAGATCGATGGTCACAAACCAATCTCCGGATTGGACCTGAGACAGAATGGACTTCACTGTTAACATCTTGAACTTGCTCACTCTGAGCACAAAATTTAGACGACGTAAGTCCAAAATCGGACGTAAACCACCATCTTTCTTGGGCACAACAAAATACCGGCTGTAGAAGCCTGACTCCATCTGAGTGGGGAGTATCTCCTCTATAGCCCCTTTCTCTAGGAGTGATACGATCTCCTGACCTAAAATCGAGGCGTCCCCAGGACGTACCGTCGTAGGAAGAACCCCGCTGAAAGGAGGTGGCCCTTTCCGAAACTGGACAGTGTACCCGTGTCGAATGGTGCGTAGTACCCACCGTGAAATATCGGGCAGGCGTCTCCACGCGGCCCAGTAGTCTGCCAGGGGTCTTGGGTGTTCTACAGTTGAAACGTACATCTGATTTTCTCGTATAGGATCCCGAAGCACCTGAGTGGC